TTAAAAGCCACATGCAAGGTGGTCTTTCCCTTAGACTAAACCAAGGCATTTAACTTTAGAATAGTACAATAATTCCACTAGTTAATATTTCCTTGCACATTAGCATATTAATGTATTTCAAGTTATTACTTTAAGGAAGTCATTGTTACAGTGCTTTGTTGTTTGAGGGTTATGTTTTGTTTGGGCTTGTTTGGTTTTTTTTTTTGTTGGGCTTGTTTGTGGTTTTTTTTGGGGGGGACACAGTTGGCTAGAGGACTAACTGAACTACTTATTTAAATACAAACAAATTTGAAATATAAATTCAATCTCAGTAACACAGTTGTTCTTGAGCAGAATGCTATCTGTAAAACAAAACTGATAAAACAAAATTCCAAGTACAAACTAAATTTTGTATTTATGGAAAGCATAATTACTTTCCAAATTATGGACTGCATAATACAATAGGGGAAAAAAACACAACCCAAACCTAAAGGGATTTAAAAAAACCCAGGTGTGGGAGTTGATGCTGAATCCTATATGCTAAAGTCTTATATTCCAGAAATGAATACACATTAAGCGAGCTTAATCCCCTTAGCATATAGCAACCGATGCCACACTCTCATATTTGAGGCTTCTATGTAATCATTTTGTTCTAACACAAGGACTGCAAACTAAGCAGGCAACACGTGAGTCAGATTGCTTGCTCTGGCAGGATGGAGAGTCATGAGCTTCATGATGACAAAGCAAGAGCTCTACTTTAGGAATGCCAGCTATTCAAACCTATCTATTCAGGAGCTGAAAAGTCACCAGTTAAACATCAGCTAAACACCTGCTTAAAATTCACCTATGACTAACACAATATGATCATGCAGTTACACAGGGAGCGCATGTAGATTTTTACTAGCCATAGCAGTTGGACAATGGCATGCAGCTCCTGTGAAAAGACAGAGCTTAGTTGAAGAGGAAATACGACAGATAGCAGAAACTCCCATCACATGCCATATGCTCACCACACTTGTCCAGAGCACATCATGGCTTATTGCTTGGACTCACGACTTAACACCTTGTAAGAATACTGGCAGTCTTAGAAGAATCTTTTTGGCTGTTCTCTAAATTACTCTACAGTTAGCAGTTCAGTAACTTACAAACACAAGACTGAGGGAGCTTTTAGTGGTTTAAGTTTTTCACACTCATTTCTTTCAGCTCTGATTCCAACACTAAAAGCCTTGGCTGCGGAACACCTCCCAAAGCACAATTTAAAATTCAGATAGGAAAAAAAATACCCTCATCACTAGCGGCAAACAGACAAACATGTCATTTCACCCCTCCATGTAAAAAGCCATCACAGGAGAATGACTAAGTACTCTAAAAACCGACACCTCCCTTGACTGCGATTTGGCATGCTTAGGCATGCTTGAGCAGCATAACATTAATGACATAATTTAGGACTATCACAGGCAAATGCTTCCTGACACCCTTTCAGATACAGAAAGAGGAAATCTAATCTTCCTTAGGAAAATGAGTTTTGAAAAAATCTCAGGAGTGCTCATTTGTATTCTCTCGCATCTTTAAATATACATAACAGTGTGATATTTTGACATGACACCTTGACAGGCAAAAGGTTTCTGCAGCAGTATTACTCACAGGAACACCTCTCACACCTCACTTACTCCTACCATAAAAGAATCTTCTCTTGTCTGTTCCAACACATGTACTTTGGGCTTTTTACAGTTCCTTTGTAAAAGGATCAGATTGGTCACAGGCTCTTACAGGACCCTTAAGGCAAAAAATACTTTATACAAGAAATGCCAAGAATGTATCTACCATTAGACCACAATCTCAGCTTTTAGGATGCAGTTCCAGTGGTGTCCCAATTTCACGAGTTCCCTCTCACACCATATTTTCATTGAGGAAGTTTTCCAAAGAATTTTGCCATCACTAATAACAGCACAAAGTCAGTGATGATGCAAATACATGACAGCTCTACTGAACACTATGCTTTGAAAGATGACAGCTGACACAACAAGCTCTTTCATCTGCAGCTATTTTTAAACCTATTTAGACCTGAATTTCAGCATTAGAAATAAGCAGAGACTGCTGCTAGAGATGTATGAAGAAAACACGTACTGGAATGTATAAAGCAACTTCTAATCTTTGAGGAAACTCACAGCTATACCACTTACCATTCCTTTAAGTAAAACATTATTTTGCTGAAGTCAGAAATAACACTGGCTTAATGAAGCATTGCTGATCACAAATAGTATCTACACACAAACCTAAATACCCTATACTGATGTTTCCAGGAAACCTAATGCAGCCAACAAGGTTTAGACAATACCCTTTAAGCTGCAAATTTCAAAATTAATCTAATTGACTTTATTTACTCATATTGGTAAACAGGAGACAAACCTGGACTTCTGCCCTCTTATCAGCATGCAAGAAATTATGTGTACTGTAACCAATATACCAATATACTCAGCTCACCAGTTTGTACTTTAATTTCCCATCATTCTTCAAGATGGTATAAAAGAGACAGCAGAAAATGAAACAGAGGCTACCAACAGCCAGTTTTACTTCATGTCTGATGTGGCAGTAAACACCTTGTGCTACACTATATTAAAACTAAAGAAGACGGGAAAAAAAGAATCACAGTGTTTGTGTAGCACATTGCTACTTACAATCACCTCCTTCAAAAACATCATCTCATTTTTCAGTTGCAATAATTTCTGCCTGGAAAGCAAGAGCAGCTGACACAGGCAGTAAACCAAATACTTTTCATTCTTGCTTTGCTGACTTTAGACTTTATTCATGACTTAGGCAAAGAGAAGAGGAATATTATCATATTATTAAAAAAAACATAACTGCACATCAATTTTATCATTATTTCCCTCCTTGCAACACTGAGCAATGTCACAAATAAATATAAATGACAAAGGCAATTTTATAGAGTTCTTGTCAAACCCTGGACATCACAATGTGAAGGAGTCTCAGAGCAACGTTGGGCAGTGCATCCTGGGTGCTAACATCAAGAAAAGCACTAGAATTCTTACTGTCAAAGACAGCTACTTGGCTGGCTGAAGGCCACTTCCTGGGTATTGGGACTAATTCAGCATGTTACAATTAAACCAAGACCTTCCTGTCACTCAAAACACAAACCACACGGACAGTGCCTGTTCTCAAGTGTGAGATCTTTACAGATGAATCTAGCATGACCAGAAATACTTCTTACTTACGTTTCAACGCAGAGGTCTTCTCCCCAGGGACATGCTTCTGCTTATAAAGAAATAAGCTACCTTTAAGAAGACTGAGAATAAACCTGCCATGGCAAAGCGCATGTCTCGAGTGGTAAACTGTCCTCGTAGCATCAGTAAAACTTTTCTGTTCATCTTTCTGATCGAGCATTTAAAAACGATACTATTTCTCCCAGGGTTTCATGAACAGCAAAGTATCACAGCAGCAACCTCAGCCGCCACTCACCCACTCTAAGCAACAAGAGCCAGGACGGAGTTTCCCAGCCCTCCCTGCAGCAGCCCTTGCTCTCCCCGCCTAGGCACGCCCGTTGTGAACACGAACCCGTTGCGGGCAGTACCCCGGCCTCGGCGGGCTGCCTGCCGACGTGCGGAACGCCGCTGCAGGGCCGCGGTGCACAGGCAGCACACGGGCACGACCCACTGACCCGCTTACCGCGTTACTGCCCCGCCCGCCCAGCAGCACCCCTTGGAACCGGGAGCCCCCAAGCGGGACGCGCCACCCCGCAGGGCCCGCTCCGCTCCCGAGCGGGGACGCGCTGCAGGGGACCGCCACTGCTGCCTCACCAGCACCGAGGCCCCGCGGGGCTCAGCACGGCTCTCACCCATGCTCATCTTCGTCGCGGGCCGAGCTGACCCGTCGCGCCCCAGAGGCCGCTCCATCCACCTGTGCTTTGCTGCCGTTCTTCTTGAGGATGCCCTTGATGGGCGCGCTGTCCGCCGAGCCCGACGCTAAGCGGCCCGACGCCGAAGCGCCCGACTCCGAGGGCTCGTCCATCGCCACTCCGTCCGCTTCCGGCCTCCTCCGCCGCCGCTGCCTCCGCCTCAACTAACACCTCCCCACCGCGCGTCAGAACGGCCGGAGCGGGAAACAGGCCCTGTACCGCCACCTCAGCCCGCCGAGGCCGCGCCCCCTGGCGGCCGGAGGACCGCCATACGTCTTCCTCCGGGATGCTGTGCGCATGCGCGAGCGTGGCTGCCGGCGCTGGGGGGTGCTGCCCGCCCGCGGAGCCCCGGCGCGTGCTTCAGGTCGTGCGCGAGGCGAGGTCCCGGCAGCGCGCGCCCGTTGGCGTGCTCCCATGCCTGAGAGCCGGGCAGCAGGAGGCTGTGCAGCAGCGGTGAACTGACATGCATCAAAATCCCCAGGCCCCTGGCAGCCCCCGTGCCGGTGTCAGCGTCCCGCCGGGTCCCTCCGGCACCCGTACAGCCGGGGTGCGGGCGCTGCGCCGTTAGGATTTAAACCTTGAACGGGGATAATGGCTCGAACGTGGCAGTTGTTTCCGGGGTTCGCAGGGCCTCCCTCCCACCTCAGCCTCGTCCAAGTGGTGAAGATGGTGGGAACACCGGCTCCCTGCTCAGCTCCTGTAGCTCTCCCAGGGCACGGAAGTGCTTTGCTGCACATCTATGCCAGTAAGGGTCCCACCACAATAAGTGTGGAACATTTCCTGCAGGTGTACAGTATGCTACATCTACACCACTGTTTTTCATGTCAGTAAAAGCAGCAAGAGAGGGGGGGTCACTGCCAGCCAAAGCCACAATGCTGGCACAGCTCAGACAGTGGCGGAAGCCTGCACATCCAACCCCAGAGAGCTGGAAAGACCTCCAGGCTCCTGAGGCAAACCATCTAACTTCAGACGTGGTTTCTTACATGGCATTGCATTCCTGGTCTGGTGGTGCTGTGGCCTCAGAGGAGGGGCAGACCCCACACACCAGGCCCCTCAGCCCCTCGGAACGGTCATGCATCTGGGAAGTACAAAAGCCCCAAAGCGGATGTTTTAATTTCATTTTTAATGAGCTGCATCAGTGCTATTCAAGCAGAGTTGTCGTGGTGCCTGGTGGACACCTGCCAAGGCAGTTGCAGTGCCAGCAGGCACTCAGTGCGTACAAAAGCGGTAAGCAGGACATCAGGCAGAGCCTGCCATCTCTTCGTGTTCAGGGAAAAGCTTCCAGAAGAGAGGACAGTGGAGCAGCCCCATCTCTTTCTGTCTTCTTATGAGCACTCTCAGAGCTGACCCCTTGGGTGTGCAGGACCAGCCTCACTAGAGGCGAGAGAGGACACATACAGACACTGGGGATGGAGCCATGCTGAATTTCTGGACATTTTTAGACTTTAAATACAAAGGGCCAGATCTGATTCCTAGTCAGGAGGCCTGCTGATGTGGCAGCAACGTATGCCAGCAGGCCTGCACCAGAAAACACTCAAGACCACAGTCTAAGTTCCAGGTCTGCAGGACTGACACACTGTGTTTGGATGCCGCCCCTTGTAAGGCAGTGCCTGCAGTGTAGCTCAGACACCACAGACTTGCAGCAAGCCCAGAAGCATCAAGACAAAAATGGAAAACAAACCTGGGGCTGTGCGATGAAAGGTTTCTCGTGGGATGAATACTTGTACATCATGTCTCATACCCTTTCCCATCCACACAGAGGAGAACTCACAGCAACAGCAGAGCTTCACGTTTGCACTTCAGAATTTCTTTTCTTCACCCATTAGCTTTGAATCAGTCAGTTACTCTGCGAAAGTCAGAGTGAGAAAAAAAGGGGAAGAGTGATAGAACAACAGCAAAGCATAACTCAAGGCTGGCAAACTACCGTTAGCAAGGGATTACTACATTTCTCTGTTATATAGAGAAATTCTAATGGATAAATCAGAAAGCAACAAAGTTCATCGCTGGTCTGGTGCTGTCACTGCATGCCGGAGTTACATCTCGGAAGGGCAGTTAAGTTGATCCGTGGGCATCATTTTCTCAGTGTCGATCTTGTAGGACTGGAGAACACTCTTCAGGTGCTCCACGGTTTCTGGGTGCATGTCTGGAGCTCTTGATAAAATCCAGGCATAGTCAATGTGGAAGAGCCAGAGAATGTTGGTGCAGGAGTAAACCAGCGAGTAGTTTTCATAGTCAGTGGAGATGACCCAGTAAGGGGCTGAAGGCATGACTAGGAGAAAGAAGAGCACCATGAACGTGATGCATAGCTGACTCTGCACTGCTCTGCAGCATTAAAGCCACAGCTCCTGGTGCTGTTCCCGCTTTGGCTGCTCCTGAGCCATGTAAGTATGGTCAGTATAGGGAGCTATAATTTATGAAAGCCTAAAATAAAAGCCTATCAGGACTCCTTGTTCTGTCCAGCAGGGCTCGAGAAAACCACAAAGCCCTGCCTAGGAAGGTCTTGCTGGAAAGTTAACATTGCCCTCATCAGCTCATCCAGGCCACCAAAAGACAGCCCAGCTTGCACCCATGTGAGGGTGCTTGCTGTAGAGCTGAGAGCTGACACTGGTGATCTGAGGAGCACAAACCAGCACCTCTCTCCACGCCACCCACTGCCCCAGGGTGCTCTGCTCATAGAACCAGCTGGAACCCAGGCAGTGGTAATCAGTATGGCCCAATCCATCCCACCAGCACCAGCCACCTGGGACAGATCCTGTTCTCCATCAGGCTGCTATGCCTGAAGCATTTGCTCCAGTGGGGGACAGCCACTTTGCTTCAAACCATCAGGCACAAAGCAGAGGTGGGTCCAGGAGGTAGGCAATATTTGTTTCTGATGCACTTAGGAGTGCAAAGTGCTGTTTTCTTGAGGCTCACATCCTGTAAGGATGGTTGGGGTTGCACATGTTGTGGCTGAAACGGCTGCAGGTGAGATACCTTAGCAGAGCATAATTAAGACTGGCTGTGCTCATGAACAATAATTGTATCTCCTTTGCAAGTGTCCTGCTCCACCCATTTCTCCAAATAACCTCTGTATGTGAGTGCTGTGAAATAGCCAAGGAAAAGGTGTGAAGGAGCAGAATAAAAAGGGAGCCAAGGGAAGGCTTCTGCTCACTTTCCAAAATGTTGCTGCAAAGTGCTGTGCAATGGGAATAAAACACACTGCACCTCAGCAGGACCATCATGTATTACCTTGACAAGGGAAGCAAAGGCAAACAAAACCATATTATTAATGGTTATTAAAAGGCACTTGTAAGCAGAGGCAGGGTGGGCTAGAAGCTATACCACTATATTCAGAAAAACAAGCCTATTGCTGACCCTTGTTGCAGCTCCCCCATCTCTCCCCTCCCAGTCCCCATCTGTGAAATGACCTGAAGAGACACTAATGCTGCTGGTCCTTCTTGCTTTGACATCAGCTGGTGAAGACTGCTCCACCACTGTGACTGTAAGTGATGTATAAATGTCACCAGACCACTGTGAGCCTCCCAGGCACACACTTACACCAGTTAAAGCGGACACCCAGCTTGGCCAGCTCCTTTACGTCCATGTGCATGATTTCTCCTTCAACCTCGTTGACTTTGCCATTGGAGCTAAGGGGAGAATGACAGAGTGAGAAATTAAATCAGATCACTTTGAAATCACTTTTTTTTTTTTCTTTCTGCTACATAATCCCTCGTAGTGCATCCACCTGCCAAGAGGAGGCCAGCTAACCACAGCATCCCCGTAGGGACACCTCACCCCGGGGATGGTTTCAGCAGCACCCTGGGCACACCAGGTCCTGGCCCAGGCATAGCGGGGGACATGCTTTCCCAGGTTAAAGCACCCCAGCGCCCCAGAGTGCCTCTCTCCAAGTGCCCTGCCACTGGGGTGTGCTTCAGTGCCAGTGGGACAGTGACAGAGAAGAGAGAGAGCAAGACCCCTCTGCAGGATGGGAGGATGCCAGCACCCATGTGCTGGATGTGCCAGGAAGCAGCTCAGCTTCTGCTAGCTGTGGAAGGCATGTGCTCACCTCTGCTTAATCACCTGCATTTTTCCCAGGGCACAGCACATTCCTGCACACACACATTACCTGTCCCTGCTTGGTAAGCCAGGATTTGTTTCACTGCTGGTTCAGAGCACTGCCCTGCTGGCAACAAGCCCTACGACTCAAACTGCCTATCTTATAATTGCATCTTTCCCTGGCTGTCTCAAGACCTGGACGCTGCCTGTGGGGCAGGAAAGTTTTGTGCTTCCCTATGAAACAGGAACACCCAAAGAGGCAGAAGCTAACGCTGCTACCAGCAGAGGTCACAGGGCTGATGCTGGGCCATGCACAGTGCATACCTGAACTAAAATATTCAGGGTCCTGAGCTGCTGCAGTGGTGCCACCACCGGTCAGATTGATCTCCCACAGATCAATGCAGGCACAGATCAATGTCCAGCTGTTTGACCAGCTCTGCCCTAGCAGTGGAGCTGCAGAGACAGTGCTGCGCAGTCAGTGAGCAGCATGGACACTGTTCTTTGCCAGACACAAGGGATGTGTGGCTGCGTTGTTGTCATTGTGAGCCAGAACAAAGTCCCCATGCCATGCCAGGGAGCACAGGGGACAGCGCTGCGTTCACCACTCACTCCCTCCCTCTCATTCATTCAGCTGCTCAGAGCAGCACCAGCACCAGCTGGGGATGGTGGTAGAAACAGATTAATTAATGTCTACATCTGCCCATGTGGAAAGCCAGGAGGGCTCGAGGTAATTGCAAACCATCACGTATAATAATGGGAACAATCAGTCCATTAGCTTTGCTCACTGATTTAAACTGGCAACAATTGCTGATCCCCTTACACAGCAGTTAGTACCAGTACAAAGTAAATGCTACAGAAAAAAGCTGACAAATATTTGCTTAAGTAAAAATGACGCGTGTGCTTCACCTTCCCTGCCCCTTTTCATCGGGTCCCTTTACTCTGGAGCACAGAGCACAGGCATCTCTCAGGTCACGGGCACAAGGTGGTGGCTGCCATACCCACATGCAGCCCTATGACCCTCCCTGGGACAGGGGCATCCAGCTTCCCAGCCATCACTGGGGATCAGAAACCAGTCAGGAGGAGACCCAGGCTATTTCACACTGGAGGCACCACGTGTATGTGATCTGTTTTCTCACAACTCCCCTTGGATAACAAGACAGAGACCTGGTGAGCCCCAGGGAAGCAATGGCAGAAACCAGAGACCTGCATCTCTGCTGTAACCACAGCAAAGCCCATTGTCCCAGCAAAGCTACCACAACCACAGACCAGAAACAGGCAATTTGAAGACAGGACAGGAGCGCCACCGCTGCAGGGAGGACACAGCCCGAATGCAAACACTTACAGCAGCTCCTTGTTGATCACCTTGAACTTCCCATTTTCCTTCAATGAGTAATTTGCCTGGATGCAGCTTCCTTTCTCGAAACCTGAGGGCAGCTTCTCTATCTCGTACCATTTGCCTAAATACTGATAGAAGAAAGCCCAAAGAGATGCTTTTAGCATGAGAGGACGGAGGCAGAGCGCCCTGCCTTGTTTGCCAGCACAGTTTTGTATGCTCAGTTCATTTGAGTCTCCCCCTCTGTGGTGCAGGAGGCTGTGGGGGTTAGCAGGGTCGCAGACCTGTGCTGTCAGCTCTGGCACGAGGTATCAAGACCAGACCTGGCCATCCTCCCATGACCCAGGCACTTTGCCATCCATCCCATGCCCCCTTACCCTAACTCACTGCCTGCCCTGAGACTTTTAGAAACCTTTACACACCTGGTTGATATCGAAGTCTTCTTGGACTGCTGGGTCTGGGCATGGTCCCATGTGAAACATCTGGCATTTCCCAAAGCCAAGGAGGCTGAACAGGACCAAGAGCCTCACTGCTGTGGCCAGCATGGCTGCACCAGGATGCAGGCGGGAAATGGACCTGGGGAAGACAAAAATAGCCCAAATGACCTGTGGCAGTGGGATTGGAACTAGATGATCTTTAAGGTCCCTTCTAACCCAAGCATTCTATGATTCATGTGTGAGGATTTACACAGCACTGCAGGACAGGGAAGTTGTTCAAGAATTCAATCAGCACCAAATAAAACATGAATCGACTACCAAAAGCATGCTGCAAGGAGAGGAAGGATACATTTTCCAGTGGAGCAGAGGTGGGAGCTGTGCTGCTCACTCCCAAACAGCCCCTGGAGCCAGGATGCTGCCCATGTGTTTCAGGTACTTGGGGCAGGTTGGCACCTACATACCCTGCAGCACGGGGCTGCTCTGCTTCCTTGGCCAGAATCTCCGCCATAGGAACAGTGCATTTTGCCCAAGTTTAAAAGAAAAGCCCATTCTGCCTCCAGCTGTGGGGCATGGGCTCTGCTGTGGACGCACACACAGCTCCCAGTTTGAATCTCTCATTTCAGAAACGTACCTTGGCTGAAGAGGTGGAGTGATGCTCTGATGAGGGCCAAGGCTGCAAGAACAGCTCTGTGGTGAGCTGTCCACACCATCACTTTATAAGCGCACTGCGATCATCATTATTCAGCATCAGCACAAGCCACTCCCTGGTCCTCAACGTGCTGTGTTTTTTTGGCAGGCCAGTCAGCTGCCTTAGATCTGCAGCTGGTACGAAGCTGGAGATGGGCTGCAACTTGGCCGCTCACCCAGGCAAACAAAGGCACCCCATGTGTCTGGGTATCGCTCCACAGCTGCAGAGCTCTGTGTGCAGAGCCATTCAGCTGCCCTTGAGAGCCTCAGACCTGGGTGCAAACAGCAGGGGACTGGGACAGCAGCAGCTCCTGTCCTGCTCCCTCTGGGCCCAGAAGGAGCCATCGCCATGCTTGAAGGGGGGACATGCAACTTCCTCTGCCACGGGCCATTTGAGCCCTGGAGACCCTCCAGGTCACTGCAGCATCCTCATCCCTATTACAGTCACTCACAAGAGTACAGGCGAGGGTTAAGTAGTGGGGGTCATTGCTCATTGGGTGGCTGCAAGGCCTCTCAGTGATTTGTCCTCTAGACTTTGAAATCTCATTACAGGGAAAGGTGGTGCAATTAGTTCTGTGCTGACCTGGCAGTTTTTCCAACAGGTGCCCAGCAAATTACTTTGACAGCAGAGCAGCCATCTGTGAAGGCAGCTGGTCCTGAGAGTTATGCAAGGAGAGCCAAGTAACAGCCAGGATGCTCTCTGTGTTTAATTACATCTCCTTTTAATCTGATCTCTGTTGAGACTTTCTTCCTAGGTGTGTTTTTACATGCTGCACCTCATGCCTTACACATGCACACACATACTCTTGAGCCCCTGGCTGCCCAAATACCCAACCCCCGCCCCCCCAAAAGCAACAAATAGCTAAGTCTTGTCCCTTTCCAGGGTGTAAGGGACACACTGCCAAGGTGTGCTCTGAAACATGGCTGCAGCCGAGGTCCTCCCAGCACCTCAATGGCCATCACAGCTGAGCGTGGCTTATCCAAAGCAGATGCAGACCCAGCAGTGCCAGCTGGGGATGAAGAGCTCAGGGAAGCACCACGACCCTACCAGCAGCATTTGGTGTGGGGCAGGGGAACACCCAGGGTCTCTCCCTCACTGCACACAGCTCCCTCAGTGGTTTGGCACAGTGTGTCCCTGATGGAGTTGCTTTGGCTGACCATGTCAAAGTCAGACCCTCTGCCCCCTGTTCATCTGCACCTCTTGTGATACAAGCAGGTTAGCAATTAGAAGAACCTGACCTAAACAGTATGAGAGCTGCCATATCATAGTGCACTGCAGAGGTGGGATACCCCACACACAGACCAGCAAGCTCAGTTTTAATCCTGAAGTGGGCTGCTTGCATCCTGAGGAGCAACGGGAGGAGAAAGCGCTGCAGTTTTGGCTCCCAGCACCGTGTGGCCAAAATCACTCCAGAGCAATGAGGCATTTACTCCAGCTGTGCTCCATGAAACCCACTGCAGGAGTGTGCATTAACCTGGGATATGGTCAGGAGGCGATGAGGAGCCATCAAGAGCTGACACTCCTTGAAACAAATCTATGTCTTGGCAGGAGACACAGGGGTCCCACCTCCACCCCAAGTCAGCACCTTCAGAAGCCCAGGGGCTGCTGCATGTGGAGCCCCACTCCAGTGGCTGCTGCCAGCCAAAGGGCATCCCATGGATGCCGAGGCACCGCATGCCTTGATGTACAGATGACGAGACCTGACAGCTGAAACTGCTGCTGGCTGCTGGGACCTGCCTCCATGCAAGTGCTGGCTGCGCCTTCCCCAGGGGCACATTTCTGGGCTCTGTCTGACCACAGAGGGAAGCACCCAGGTATGTGCTGCTCCTGTGTTGGAATGGAGCAGGCTTGGGCTGCTGCAGCTGAGTCCCTGCCCAGGGCCACCAGGACCCTCCTGTTATCTCACCTCCAGCACTCACCAGCACTGCTTACCCACACAGACCCAGGCCCTGCTCCATGCCCTGCCAGAGCAGGACTCTGCTCATGAGCCTGTCCACCTTCAGTGCACACAAGAGCAAGGGTTTGGGGAAAAGCATAACATTATAATCACACCTAATTGTGGGGTGGGGAGAAGTCATCTCTACCTGGTAAGCAGTTCATACCCTGGAGCAGAGGAGGGGAGGCACATCAAAGGGCAGGAAGCTGGAACAAGGTTGGGAGGGCAGGAAAGAGGAGAGCTGGAGGGTAAAACAGAGCAAAGAGGGGGGGCACCAGACACGCTCTGTGCGCTTCATGCAAGAATGAAGCCTGCCCCACATTTCTGGGTGATGAGGAAGCTGCAAGCTGGGTGTACAGGGTGCGTGCCCAGCGCAGGGAGCATGGAGAGCTGCAGGGCTTGGAGGACAAGGCAGCATTGCGTGCGTGGGTGCAGATGGGGTGTATGGGCAGTGTGCGTGCATGGGGAGGCAGAAGTGGATGCAAAGCCTACCCCACACTGGGGTGAAATGGCAGGAGCTTTACGGTATGTTCAGGTGTGGGCAGGTGAGGCAGCCCACTGTGCAGGGCACATATAGGCTGTGCATGGGGTGAGGCAGCACTGGGCACATGCTGGGCATGGGGTGAGGCAGCACTGCATTCGGGGCATGTATGCCTGGGCTACATTGGCCAGGAGTTTCTTGTGTTACTAAGCTGTGTATTTCAGAGACAAGGCTTGTCTGGCTCTGGGAAGAGGAGGCAACAGCACTGAGTGCTGAATGCTCCCTTGTCAGAATAAAATGGAGCTGCTGATAAAATCCAGGCCTGGGACCCATGAAATCCTGCCTGCAGCCAACCTGACTTAGTGCTGAAGTGAGATGGTCCCATTGCGCACCCTAGGCCACCCTGAAATCAGCTCCTGGCACCTATGTAACAGAGGTTTAGCTGGCCAGGTCTGGTGGGGACCCCGCTCCCCAGGGAAAGGCTGTCTTATCATGCTATATCCCCATGCTGGTTTTCTCCCTCCTCTAAAGGAAACGGGGTTTTGGGTTGGCCAGACAAGTTGTGACATGTATATAGAAACAAAAATGAACTTGCAGGAGAAAAGGCAGAGAAAGGGAAGGCAGGTGGGAATTTTCCTGTTTCTAGGAGTGGCAGAAAGTGCTTTGAAATCTGTTTATGCAAAATGGTGTAAAATTACAAATCACAGTTATGACAGTAAAGGAAGTAAACAGGCTCTGGAAGCATGAACTGGACTCTGAGATATGGAAACTCAATCCAAGGCAAGTGCACAGATGTGATTCACATATATACAATTACTGAATAGTTCTCCACCATGGAAATTATCCAATTAGGTAGTCAAAACACAAGAAACCAAAGAGAGAGATTTATGAAGCTGGAAAACTAAAAAAGATATTACATTTAAGGGACAAACCCTATTGTGGCAGGACAAGCAGTGGCTCTCCTGGGCTCCCAGGAAGGTTCCCTGAACTGCTTGGCACTGCTGCCAAGGTCTGAGTCCCTGGAGAGAGAAGCCAGAGGGATCCTTATTCTTCTGAATGTAGAAAAAAGCAAAACAGAGAGAAGAAAAACAAGAACAAAGGGGGATAAAAGCAACAGCAGGCAGGTCTCTGCAGACAGGGCTACACTGCAGGGTTGGACTGGTGATAATGCTTTGGCCCTGCAGCATCTCACCCCTGCAGATGTGCTCAATAGAAAAAGCAGAGTCCAAGCAGTGCACCTAATCCTGGCTTTTCAGTATGTCCCAGAAATGCCTCACATTGAGCAGCCATTTGCTGCTAAATAACATTAAAAAGTGTTTGTTTTTGCAGTTTGCTGCTAGGTTATCACAGCACATGCCAGGTACTGCACAGGGTGGGCATAGGCCAGGAAGCACATACAGAAGGGGGCAGAGTAGGACTTCTCCAGTGGATGTGGGAGCAGATCCCAAGCTCTGATCCCAGGGCCCTGGTATGTGAATGCCTGCTCAGGTTTAAGTGCTGGGGTGCTACATGGCCCTGGCTGCTGTAGCTCAGCCACAGCTCAGGTCAGGGTGCTGCTCCCCCTCTGGCAAGCCGAGACTAAACAGGCATCCTGGTGTTAATGCCAGGCTCTGCACCCCACTTCTTGGAGGATCGCTCCTACATTCCCCCATGGATTCACAACACTTTTTTCAGGACTCCTTAAGCAGCCCCCACCATACTGAAACATAATTTAAAAGCTTTAAAAAATGTCATTAAATATACTTACAGAGTGCCTCTGCAAAGGGACTTTGTTTTCCCAGAGGCAGTGATCTGTTCACAACACCATCAGCTCTAAGAGATGCTCAAGTAAGGCTGTTTAAAGCCCACAGCCCTATTTTCTGCAGCTAAATGCTATTTCAGCACCTTAATTCAGGAATGCATTACTGGAGTTACACAATTATATGACCTGTATACAACCTACATCTTCCTTGTGACACAGATTTACAATGTGTGTGGAAACCGCAGCTCTGCTCACAGGAGGAGAGAAAAGACTCTATTGCATTAACAAATACAGTTAAGAAATCTCCTGCAGATGATGCTGTCCTGCCACCCAAGTGAGGAGCCCATCAGCAGGGACAGGGACTCTCCTGCTGCGGGAGCACTTTGGAGCCAGCTTCAAGTCAGCGATTTGCAGCAGCTACCAGGAGTGCAGGAATCACGTACAGTGTTTGGGGTAGCCTCAAACCCTCAGATATCCTCTGGTCTTACACACCTCAAGATTGTTCTATATATATTTATGTATGCATCTGGAAGACCTAAGGGTGGCACTTTAGCCCTGATGGACTCCTCCACCAGCCAGGACAGCATTTTCAAGTCCTGTCTCTGAGCCACCCAGTCTCACACCACAGTCAGAGGAGAATTCTAAGAATCGCCTTTCTGAAAGAGCAAGTCGCATCTCACAGCCTGCAGAGTGCAAAGACACTGGCATATGTGTTTGGCTTTGCCCATGAATAGCTGTACTGAGGCCAGTGAGCCCAAGCACACATGCCTTGCTTTGCAACACAGGCCCAAGTGTTTGCTAGACTGAGCTTTACATTATACAGAAAATAAGTAACAGATTTGGTGGTCAGTGCTCTGACTTTGATTTAATATAGTTACGGTCTGAAATAGCACAGAGATACCATTCATAGTGAGTTTCACTTGTTGATAAAGGGGTGCAGGGAGGGGATGAGGCTGGGACTTAGTGCAGGGGCTGAGAGTATGTGAAGATGACGAGGAGGAGAGATGCTTCCTATATGTGCACATGGTGCCTTGGCAGTTCCCAGTAAAAGCACCAGCACCTTCTCCACAACAGTGCTGGCCCCAAGAAAATTCAGTGTTGGACTGCCTTGTTGGGATGGAAAGACCACTGCACCCACCAGATGACTCCATCCTGCACCCACCTCCTCTGAGCCACACAGCCAAGCCACTGTGCTATCTCACCCTCTTTAAAAATAGCCTTTCCCAAGCTCCCAGGTGTATTTTCTGCAGGCACTTTCCCCCTATGAAAGTGCACCTTGGCTATATAAGAGTACTTGATCTCCATCTTTTCTGAAGGGTTGTCAGGGTACCTACCTGCACAAGCATTCATGCACTGCTTTTTACCACCTGCTCCAGCCACCCACTGGATGTCTCTGGTGGGATGTAGGGACTGCCACGTTCCTCCCTGCAGTAGATGATGGAGGTGTGGGGCCTTATCAGGGGGTATTCCCTCTCCCGCCAGTTCCCTCATTAGCCATGGTTGCACTTCATTAGCGTTGGAAAGGGAAGGTGTTTCGCTGTGGTCTGAATGCTTCAACACCTCTGAGTAGGCAGAAACCAGGAAAGGAATGTAAAGACGCAGGGTGCTGGCAGCCTGCTGACTGATTGTCATAGTAACCCTGGTTAAAGTCCCACCAGGAAAATGACTTCTCCTGCAACACTTGACCCCACAAGGTGACAGGTACCACCAGCACCCCTGGGAGCACAATCACTCTGGCAGGCAGGCCGTGGAGTTAGCCAGAAAAAGACCATGAAGAGCTTTCACCCAAGCTGCAGTTCAAGGTCCCTGGGTAAGGTGCATGTGGGGTTATGGTTAACCCTGGTGCCTGCTAAAAGCAGCACAACAGTGTTAATGGCTACCCTCATCCCTGGCACCTTCCTCCCTGAAGCTGTAAAAGTTCAGAGAACTTCATAAGCCACCTGTAGCAGTTTTTCCTGCAGGAGACTGGAAATGACACATTTTTTGTTCTGCGACAAAAAGTAATCCAGCCTCTGGAAAGTGGGATAACACTTATTCTGGCATCCATTGTAACAACAGAATGAGCAAATAGTACTGTGTTGCATTGCAATGTGTACTTTGGGGTTTTCTGCTTTACAGCATGGGTAGGGTGGTGGCAAAGATGGCTGGAATGGTAATGGAGCTTGGTGTAGGCAAGTGACTTGTTCAGCACACATAGCAAGCCAGTGACAGTGCCAGGACCAGAAGTGCTGGATCTCAGTCCTAGACAGAAGCTTTTCCACTATACCATTAAAACAGACCAGCTCTTACCTGGTTACTCCACTGGGTGCTCTCTTTACAATCAAATCAGAAATTCTTTCTTTCATTTTACCTGTCTCTATTTTTATTGATGTCTTGGTAAACACAGCGAAGGAAGATCTGCTAGGCTTGCAGGTGAGCAGGGCTGCTCCAGCTGTGTGCTGGAGCTGTTAAAGGCTCAGAAACTTCACTGCTCTTCACAACATCATCTGCAGGTCCTGCATGGGAAAGAGCTTTTGTACAAGGGGCTATGCTAAGGGGATGGACAACCTTGTGCCATGCTGGCTGGGAACAGGCAGGCACAGGGGATGGTAAAAGCAAGGAACTGGTAGGCAGACCAAATGTCACCATGTGCTCTTCAAAGCAAACCCACAAAACTCATGGTATTTGGGCCACTTCTGTGATGCAAGGGCTATGAAACTGCAAAGCTGGCAATGGCACAGCAGTACTGTAGAGTCTTAGAAATACTCACTCTTAAAAATACAGGTATTTTTCCATGAAGCCAGAAAAATTCAGACTCTTTCTCCATGCTGATTCCTTGGGGCTTGAAGCTGCCTGATAGCAGTCATTCCTTCAGTAAAGGTGACCTGATAATGATGCTCCTTATCAGAAGAGATCAGAAAAATGCCTTCCTGACCATACCTATAGGATGAAAACACAAGCAACTTCTCTGTTAAGGGCAGAGGAAAGCATACAGAGGAAAGAGGATGGGCAGAAACCCACTCTTTTACTGCTCTGTGGACAAAAGGTGTTGTGGGGGTAACTGCCCTCAGGGGACCAAATTAAACCACCCTGAGGGAAGCAAATTGCTGCATGTTCACTGCACCATGTGTGTGATAACTGCACCTGAACACTGCCTGAGGCAAGCACTGTGCCCAGAGCTGCCCCTTACACCAGCGAGCCAATGCCACTGGCCAGCCTTGCTGCCCGTGTGCCTGGAGCAGGAGATGTGCTCACCACACAGCTCATCAGGTCAGTACACAGCAATCCACACATCCTGAGTGCTCTCAGAAGCTGCTTTCACCATCAAGACACCACAAAAGAAGTCACTGCATGCTGCAGCAGACCTGTGCACGCAGCCGCTTTGTGCCTCCTGGTAGCTTCTGTCAGGGCACAAGTGTTATTTCTCATCCCTATTTTGAGGTGGACACACGTCTGCTCTCTTCCTCAAAGGGTACCAGGGGAGCAGATGATATGGCTGTATCAGCATTATCCCTGTGGCCCTTCCAGCACCACTGCGAATGAATTAAATGCACCTGGCTGCAGGCCAGGCCCCAGAGGTGGAACTGGCTCTTACAAATTCTCCTGCTATTTGTAGCATCTCTCCAAATCCCAGGGCTCAGGCTGCTGGCTGAGAAACCTGCTGGTATCGGGTTTGGTTTGTTTCTAAGACATTTCTAAGCATTGTGATTACACAAGATGCTGAAATCTCATGTTCCAAAACCACAGGCAAAAGGACAGGTGCTGCCATTGCTCTTTCACAGCATCATCATGTTTGAGGGATCTCCAAGCTAGAAAGATAAACCCATCCTGGATTTCCTAGATCTTAACATTTCCAAAATGCTAAGCAAGGCTCCTTTCTGTTCCAGGGTGCGCTGGGTGGCACTGTTGCAGAGCTGGGTGCCGATGAGCAGAGGACTCTGCAGCAGCACCAAGCCTGTGAAGGCACCCTGCTCCCTGCACTGCCCTGGCTGCAGGCACAGCAGCTGGGCCAGCATCACTCTGTGCAAAGCAGGACCTCAGTGGCCTTTCTGACCTGTTGCAGCTGTTGCAGAGTTCTGTAGTACAGCTTCCTAACCTTCATTTGACATGTTTAGCACTTAATCTTTTCCAACTGATAGTGCTGATGCTTTTCTTTGATCTTTTTTCTCTAGGAAAACAAGGACCTCCCCAGGAAGCAGCCTGCATGAGAAACACTGTGTCCCCCACACAGAGACTTTTGGGAGCAGGGAAAGCACCACTAGGGAAGCAGAAGCAAGGTCATGACCTGGAGCAGAGGCAAGCTGTCCTGAGACTCTCCTATTCCTGGGACGTTTTGATCTGTGTTTTCAGGGCTGTTGTGATGTGTAAAAGCACTGCCATCACTGGCCTTCTTTCCCCAAAAACATTTCTGGCAGTGGGCAGTTCCTCAGATGCAGGTTTAGAGTCAGACATGCAAGAAGTGCTTCTCAAATCCTAAACTTTCCCCTAACATTAGTGACTCCATCCCAGGTGTCAAAGCAACAGGTTACATAGCAGACACTGCCAGCACACCATGAATCAGTCATACACATTATCTGAGTGGAAACAGAAGCATCCTTTAGCTTGGAGCTACTAGCCAAAGGACAGTGGCTGCTTTGTTAACACTTGGCATCTCTTGCAGATTTGTTTCTTTGCCAGTGTTCAGTAACCAGACAGCATCTACAGGAACACCACTTAAGAGGAGAGTGGCATACTGAAGTCTCCTTATTGTCAACATTATCTAAGAGAAATCACATCCTGCTGCCTACAAACATTCCTCCAAATGCTGGGTCCTGTCCAACAGTGCCAAACAGGTTCCCAGTAACACAACATAGGTCATATTTGTATTGGCTCTGCAACTTTTCGAGATCTTCAGCTACATCAGAACAGCAAACCTAGGACATCAGCCACTCGTGACACTGGTAAAGACTTTTGAAGCCCAGAGGAAGAAGCATTCATTCCCATCCTCTGCATCGCTCATTGTAAGGATAAACACATACAGGACTATCAATATAATACAGGACAATCAAGGGATCTCTATAGCACCTTGCTGCTTCTCACCTCTGCCCGAAATGAACCATTTCCTCTGCAGCTCTTGCCACTAAGAAGACCCTTGGTTTCTCTCAGCTTTTAAAGATCATCTTCATTTACTTCACCTGCAATAAAGTGTCTTTTAAACTCTCCCTTTGCAGCTAGTAGAGGTTTCATGTTGGGCTAAATCAGGAACCACAGGTGTCATGAAGCCTGGGACATACACTGAGACTTGCCACTGTTTCAGGACTTGTTTTTTTGGTCAAGACAGAAAGAACTGAAGAAATCTGGAGTATCTAGACTCACAGTGCTTACCTGGGAGAACCCAAGAGGCCCCTTGCTGTGTTAAGGTAAACCACAGCAAATGTGACATGCAGAGGAGCACCTTTTGGTTTCCAGAATCATTGTAGAGAGCCATGCAGGCCTGAAAGGGAAAACACAAACACTTTACAAAGGCTAAAGGGTGCACCAAAGACCTGGATTATTGCTGTCTTCCAAAGCATTGTGAGAAACGTGCAGAAAAAGGCAGGACACTGCCACAGCCTCAGCATCTGGCCCCTGATGGGGGAAACAACAACAAAAAAGTCAGTCACCTTTGGCAGTCTAACTCCCTGTAGGATACCACAGCAGCTATGAGCATGGACTTCCAGGGGATTCCACTGAACTTCCTTCTGGCTCCTCCATCCTCCAGCTTTAAAGATTAGTGTCAAATGGAACTGAGATTTCTTCCCTCTGTTACTCATCAACAAGACAACAATCTGTCCTCAATGCCTGCATTAATGCAACACTATGGCAGAACAAGGGTCTGGCTATCTCAGGGAATGGATTTCAGAGCCAGATTTCATCTTGGTTTTGCTCTGCTGGCTCAGAGACACAATCATCTGCACAGCACAGAAACACTTAATACTTGCTCTTCCTGCCCCAGCACTGCTGCTCTTGCCATAGAGCTCCCCACCCAGGCAGCCATCAGATCACTGACAACTCACCTGAGCACTTCTCAGGGAGGCAGAGGAAGGGACTGGAGCTCACATGCTGTGATAGCCTAACCCAGACTCAGCCACGAGGCCTTGTATGGCTCTAGACACTTCTTGGTTTGCAAGTCTCCATTCTGTCTGAGAAGAGCTCCTTATCACCACTATAGAATTTGGATTAGTTACATGCAGAGTGCTGAGGCAATACATAATGCTCTACACCACTCTCTCAACACTGTCATTTGAGGGGAACCACATAAAGTACAAACACTGATGGTGTGTGCTTGCAGAGAGGCCACTCTAGCTGCCTTCTGCTGATGAAATGGGTGTGCTGCCTATTCTGCTCCAGGCAGTTCTCACCAAGACTTCATAGTCCCACTACCTGCTGAACTACCACCACCTCCTTAATTACTGAGCCCCATTAAATCTCAACCTGAGCTTCAACGTGGGTAGAAAAACCAGTGTAGGAACGGGCACTGGAGACATGTGCTTTAAAAATCTCAGTTTATTTTATTTTCTGTGCAAATCAGTACTACTTAACATTACTCACATTTCACAGTGCAGGGGGCAGAAATTATTACAACACTGCATAAACTGCAGCTCAGTGAGATCGTTCTGGGTCCTGGATCCCAGGCAACTTCCATGTGCTGATGATCTGGAATAGAAAAGAACTGCACAGCCAGCATTTCCAACAGCTGTTACTTGTAATACAAGCTACCTCCACAGCATCACCAAGGGAAGTCTGCTTTCCTCCTCAGGTATCACAGCTGCATGCAGACTCCAAGCATTTACAGCCAGTGGCATATAGAAAGCTTACAGTAGCTTCCAAGTCAGAGCTAGCAAAGACAGATGAGGAAAGAGTAAATGATAAACTCTTTTCATAGCCACTTAATCTCATGCAGGACAAAAGAGAAAGAAGTTGAGCAGTGGAAGGGAAAGCTGGTCCCTAGAGTAAGAGGGTATGGTCCCGGCCTGGCCAGCAGCACCCACAGCTTGCTGGCTGCTCCACTAGCAGTCACCACTGGGACAGAGAGAACAGGGCATGAAGCCAGGCAGCCCTAGCACTTGGAGAACTGACTGAAATCCTGTGTATACCCAACAGGAGAGACCCTTGGGGATACTGTACAAAAGTAGCTCATACCAGTTATCAGGAGGTTTTCTGAGAAGACAGTCATGTGTGACATGGAAATTTCATTGTGCAATATTAAAAGAAATGTGTGATTTAAAGCACCCTTCCAGAGCTCAGTCAGGCCACACTGATTTGGGAAAGCAAGAGCCACCCCCACACCAGCAAGAGGGACCCCAGCATGAGGTGGTGACATAAGGGAAGCAGAGGGACGGCTGGACAGCATCTGTACCGCAGTTGGATAGTGCAGGCACAGGTCCCTAAGGTGCCAGGAGAGGAGCCACATTTGTTTGCTACATCAGATTCAACCCTGTCCCACAAAGCTCATTAGCAGTGGGTGGGTGGAGAGGCTGCAAGTCGCAGCATCCACAGGGATGCTGAGGGATGGCTCAGACCTCACTCATTACTAGAAGGGCTTTCCCCTGCCCAGCCTGTCTGCAGTCACTGGATCTGGCACCTCCTGGCCACTGGAAGGTAAGAACTCTCCTTTGAAGAGATCTGACCCCCCCACCTAGGTAATGAGGCTGTTTAGAGGCAGTGCTGCTGTTTTCCAGGAAAGAATAGACAGTCACAGAGCAGCAGAAGGCTGTGACTGACCCATTTTCAATCAAATAGAAAACTGTTTTTGTTTCCCATTTTAGTTTCTCCCTTCAAGACATCTCATAGCAACAGCTTTGCTCTGCTATTAGCAGCCTGCCCTTGTAAGGAAAAGCAAGAGCCCATTAATGAGCCAAATTTATCACCGGGAGAATTCTGCTGACCTAATTTGCACTAGCCACATATCTTGACCCATTATGTTAACCTTCCTCTGCCTCCTCCACACTTAAACACTTTTCACCTTTAACCGGGACAGCAGGGAATAAAAACAGCAAGAATTAGGAGAAAAAAAGACCAATCCAAACCAAAAAGCCATGCTGTTCTCAACATCCACAGGACTCCATTACACAGGACTTGAAGCCATAACCCAAAGTGAAAGCACAGAGAGGAGTCTTGACGTTCTGCTGTCTATGGGAAGCAAAAAGCAATTGTCCCAACTCCCACCAGTAGCCCACGCCAGTCCAGCTGCAGAGCTCTGGCAGCTTGTGTTAGATCCTGCACTGCCTAGGGACAGTGACAGCAGTGATCACTCTTCTGTGCGTACCTGCCCTTCCCCAAGACAAGATGTGTGCAATTATGGTTTCAGATGCACTTGAACAGGCCCTTTGAAATCTCACCAGCTATTTATACAGAGAGATGTTTCACAGCCATGGAGCATGACACCCTTCTGCAGCTTGAAATTTTAGCTGAGAAACAAGTGGGCAGCTCTGCTCTCTCATTCCACACCTAAGTACAGCTTGGAGGGACTGTGAGAACCACCTGCTGACCTGATGGGTAAGCTACCTCTTGTGAGATGTGCCTTGCTTAGTGGGTACTTGCTTTCTGGAAATGGTATCTGAGCAATCTTCTCAATATAACCTCATTTCAGCCTCACAGAACACACAGCTGTGCCAGCATTCTCCCACATGTACTAAATAAAGCAGCTCTTCAGAGTTCTGCTCATACATTTCTTTTTTTTTCTTCTCCTATTTTTTTTTTAATAGGAACTAAAGACTTCTGATTAGACTGTTATTTTGTAAGGTATTTAAAATGGCTGTTATTGACTCATTTATTCCACCACTGCCACTCTGCAAGCATCTGCTGAATTGAGTAACATGAACGGAGAAGATTTAGTTATCCAGATGCAAGCACTTAATGGATGCTGGATGCCACGATCATCTCATCTGGCCTCCAGATTACTCTTTTTCTAAAGGTGGGCTGGAGTCCTGTATCATATCTGCCAACACGGCACAAAGGTCTCCCATATCCTAGGATGTCTAAGATAGCACCTGCTGTGTAGGTGCCTGGACTGCCCCATGAGTGGCCTATACTACCAAATGCTTATACAGCACATTCAGCCCTGCTGTCTAGTTTGGCTGTGTGCCCCAGACCCTCCTTGGACTGCACAGGCATTCCCTGAAGCACACTCCAAGTCATGATTTTTAGCTACACCTCTTTGCTGTGCTGCAAAAGTTCTTTCCACGTCTTGCCACACTCCCCACCATGTACCTTTAGCTCTGGGAATGAAGGCAGGGAAGAGTTTGTCATTCTTATGGTGCCCTACAGGCTGATCTCTGCCAGCTTCTTGTAGTTGTAGAGACTTGCAAATTCTGCCTCTCTGAAGGTGAGATGCCAGCATTGTTCACCAGGACCCACAGACCTGCCAACAGACACATGGTTAGAGAATGTAATGAGGAAAAGTGTCACAGAAAAGTCACCTTCTTTGTTGTTCAAGGTAACCCAACCCCTTGACAAAGAACTGGGTGCTTCTATAGAAAAAAAAATTGTAGAGAAAACCAGCAAGAAGAAGACACAAGCTCTTGGTATAGCAGAAGTGAAGCTGGGGGGGGGCTTGTTTGGAACACCTGGGAGAGTGATGGGGCCACACAAGCATTGCCTCCATCAATGTCTCCTCTAAGGACAAATCCTGCCCTGGTACTTGGTACAGCTGGATCTGTCTTACCCTCTTTTATGCCTCCTGTCAGTCCCAGATTTGTCTTCACTCAGTGACTTTCATCATGGTGTTCACAATTTGGAAGGGGCTGGACTTTCCTTCAAAAGTAAGTATCTTGGATATCTAAATCCCCTTCACAACTCTGACCCACTGTTTCAGACAGTGCACGGTACTGATTTGCATGTTCATGGCCTAGTTAAAAGCCACTGTATTTTACTCCAGGTATTTGGTTTCCCTCAGCCCTAACTGTGGCAAACTTACAACCAACCCTTAAAACTACTAGACTTTAAAAAATAACATCTTTTGTACATGCAGTCCTGCCAACCTTGACTTGAATGCACTTACCAAGAGATTCTGCACTGAGCCCTTTACATGTCCAGGACTTAGCAAGTCACTGAGGATTTGACCCTTTGAAGTGATTACTGCAGGAGTCCCAGGGGCAAGTGTATTTAGGACTGAGTCCATACTTTAAGAATTTGTTGAAGCACAGGACTATGCAGCCAAAAACAGGAGGAGGAACAAACAAGAGCTGGAACAAGATAACAGAGTTGTTTCTCATTAGGGGTCCTGCCATACACCATGGTTATTTCTCGCTTTGTAAGTACTCAGTTGAAGTCCCTTTCCACTTCCCAATCTCCCTCTTACCACCAAGAACACACACAGGATTAAGAAAGAGTCTCCATGTCCAGGGAGCTCTGACACTGCTATCAAAAGCACCCACATCATGCCACTCTGTTGATAAAGTTTATTAAGCTCCCTCTCAAAGTTTTTGGGCTGTTTGCCCTGCCTCTGTTCCATAGCTTCCTGCCTGATGTATGAAAGTCTCAACTTCCAGCCTATATTTATTCATGGTCAGATATAACGTTGTATTGTACCAAACACAGCCCTCTATGCAAACTGCAATATTTCACCATTGTCCAATACATACCAATGGAACTTATCCTCCTGGTGCATTTAAAAACACCAACATGTTCTTGCTAGCCCAGCTCTCTGGTCTCACACCAGGCCTAGTAACCCTGCACTATACTCACCTAAGTCTGCTCTCCCTGAAAGCTGATAGCCTTCACAGAAAAGCTGTGTACAGCAGACCAGAGAGTCACATGCTACCCAGTGATAACAGTGCATTAACCATTTCCTCATGGTCTGTCCCGGACTGGATTTGCCTTTTATAGCTGCATTCCCATATTTTCCAGCTCTCACATGGTGATCCCAACATCCTTTTGCCCAGCACACCTGTCTGACTGACAGTGGTGAAGATTTCTTCAGTTCACTGGCCTGCAGCTACATCCTCCTCCAAAACAACCCTTTCCCAATCCCCACCGGGTCACAACAGCCCCAGGGGCTGTTTGGGATGCCAGCTAAATCATGGCCTGCAGCAAAAGCCAGAAAAAACATCTTGCTCAGCTATCCTTACTTCTGGTTTTATTAATTCAGGTTTCTAAAGGCCCCAGTTGGGTAGTTCTATTCCTGCTCTGCTCAAGATCCCCTGCCCATCACCACTGGCCTTACTGAAGCTGCCAGCTTTAATGGGTCAAGATAACTGAAATTCACATTCATCTGGCAGCCAGCACAGCATCTCAATCTGAATGGGGTCCCTTGCATTGCTGCAAAGCAGGTTCTAATGACTAGCAGGAGGACCATGAAAACAGGACATGGATGGTGTAATTTCACCAGGAACAAGAAGCTATCCAGAGCAAATTTGGCAGGGATTTGCTAAAGCCACAAAAGGCTTAAACTTTCAGTCCCATACTGACCTCTGCAGAGTATTCCTGATTCTAAGTTTCAGTATGAGAACTTCCTGTTTCTTGGGTTATGAGGTTAGATTCAGGGATGTTCACTTTATTGACAATACCTCATTCTTGGAAGTTTATCACTCACCAATCAGGCCACATTATATACAGAACAAACTGCTGACATGTACCCAGTCACAGGGCTGTTTGCTAGTCAGGGGTATGTTTATTGAACAGGACCTTATCACTATTACTTCTTTAGTGTCAACAATACAGTGGGAACTGCTAAGATTGAAAACAAACAGGGGCACTCCTATCAAAATGAGTTTAGCCTTGTGTACACAGAACAAGGAGAAGAGGTATAAGAGTACAGTGCAAGAACAGTTCTGCACTAGCTCCTCTGGGGCCACACTCTGTGCAACAAGCACCTCTGTGCAAGTCACCTCGGTCTCAATAGTGTCTGTGGTTCCATACATACTTCTTGAGCACTATTTCCTGGCAAGCCCCAAACCTCAATCACATTGATGGTCTTAAAAAGAAGCCTTTGCTGCTTTGCACGCTGTGCTGGAGCAAACAACTACAGGATAAGGCTCTCAAGAGCAGGAGGAACCAGTCCAACTTGCTGATCAAGAACGGAAGACTTTTGTCCCTGCTTCACAGAGGGTTTTGCAAACACTGCTGCATTTATAGAAGCAACATAGCTGCTCCCTTACAAGCTTTTCCTCAGAGAGAAATGGTTCTGTGCCACCACTGCTGTTGCTGTGCTCTTCAGGAACAGCTTGAGAAGCTGTGAAATGTATGACAAGGGCCGGGTGACTGTGTAGGAAGAAAAATCATGCAGAGAGAACGTGTGGGATCTGAGCTTGCACATTACTCGGTTATATTTCATATGCTTGTTTTAGGAGGGTGTGCTCATGTAATTTGTATGAAGATTAGAGCTATTGTTATTTACTAGCCTTATACTTGCTGGGAACAATATACTTGCAGGCCCATAGCAGTGTTATCCAAGCTTTAAAAAGAGCAACCACGCTCCAGCCACCAGAGCCCAAGGTAGTAAGAACACGATGGCTCTGCTTTCCTGTCTGTTCTATTCCTTTCTTTCCTCCCTACCCTGCTAACAATAGAGATTGTTACTATTGTGGGGTTATTTTTGTTTAGGCCAACATAAGCACAGTTCAAACTCCAAGTTTTACCTAGTCACTTCCAGACAGGATTACTGCCTAAGCCTTACAGCCTTGCTCAGGTGAGACACAACAAGTAAAACTGAAAAAAGCACAGATTAGCCATGCATTTCCATAGTGGGCTCAAGGTGTAATTCACCAAATTACTTCTTGAATCACAGGCTCTGCCACATTAGGGAGGAAAAAGTTATGAATCAGTGAGTCACCATGCCTGGCTGCCACTCTTCTTTAGCACTTGATACCAACTCCCACAGCACAAGGGCAAACAAGGTGAGCAACCCTCCCACAGTCACCTGCTCAGCTGCCTCTGAGCCAGGCTGAGCTAAAAAACATGTAACCATCTAGTCTTTTCTATATATATCTTGGGCTATTTAATGAACACAGTATACAGCATCTCACCTCCACCTTTAGGCCAATAAACGATGATGTGTGGTGAAGGAAAAGAGCTGAAACGTCCATTACAGCCTTGAAAAAAACAGGGTAGCTCTCAAAAAAAAAAAAAAAAATATATATAGTTACGTTGGCATTACGACAACAGTAGGAAGGAGTGGCTGGCCCCACAGCTGTGTACCATTTCACAAGTGACTTATTTCCAGGTAACACAAAACAGCAAATCAAGACTTGAAGCTCTTTCAGTACACATCAGACACTGACATTCTAGTCATAGGCCAGCAGCTTTAAAAAAAAAAAAAAAAAAAAAAAATCAGTATAAATGGTTTGTATTATTCATATTGAAATAAATTTTCCCCTAGCACCAATGCAACTCAGTCTGCAAAGTTACCTTACCAGCTACAATTTATTGTTATCAAAACATACTGATTTTGGAAGACTGACTTCAACATGCAGTATCAATTGGAACCACTTTTCATAGCTGCAGACACCACTGAACTGTAAAACAAATTGCTTAACCCTTACGCATGGAAAACCTCTTCACAAATGAAGCAGCCAGGTATTTTTACAGACAGAAGTGAACATCATCTTAGGCTCTGTGGTTCTTCAGCAGTAAAGCACATTCTCTGTTTTCCTTCTTGTTTTTTTTTAACAGTAGATTTAACTGTAGGCCTTCATGGCCTTGGGACTCACCAGTAGGAACCACACAGCAGTGTGAGTCGAGTGGGGTCCTGGCAGCAATGGCCCAGCTGCAAAAGCTCACTTCCTCCCCCTTTGCCGTCACGGTTTTTGTCAGATTTTTGTCCTGCTGGAGGATCTCCCAGCTTCCCTATCCCAATCCCATCAGAGCTGGAAGCTGCCCTGCCCCAGCCTAGCCTGCTGCCCAAGTACTCTCCAGAGGCCTTCAGTGGGACTTAGCCATTTCCTCCCCTGTACCTCATTTCCCCCAGTTATCCTGCCTCACCGCCCTGCACGCTCTGGCTGCCCACCCCACCCTCTGCCCAGCACGAGCAGCTCCAGGACCACAGGAGCCTTCACCACCTCGCAGAGCAACCTTGCACCAGCTTTTGGCTGCTTCCCTTTCCCTTCGGTCGCTCCTCACACCTGCTCTGGTTTGGAGGATCCCAATGCAGCCGGTGGTGGGAGACAGACAGAACACCCAGGGGCTTGTTAGGAAAGAGGCCTCCTGTAACACACCAAGTCATGGATTTGTCCCAGGAAAGTTCGTGGGATTCAGGATTAAGCCCT